CGTGGCAGCGCGTATCATGGGGGGGGGGGGGGGAGATGGAGAAAAAAATCCCCCCATCAGTTGCTGACGAATTGCATCGTGATCCCATGTTATTTACACGCCCACCCCCCCGTCCCCCGAATCTCGTCGCCGAAGAGAAACTGCGTCGCAGAGCCGACTCCGAGAGATGCGCCGGCTTGGTGAGCCCTCTCACGTGTCGTTGCGCCTCCAGTTGACGGTGCACGTGGCCCCCGTGGGGTCGGGCGCGTACCCGGCCCAGCCGAGGAGCGGCGCACCGGCCCAGAAGGCGGCGTTGGCCCACGCCAGCGCCATGAGGTTCGTGTAGCTGCGGCCCTCGACTACGGGACAGGGGGCCCACCCCACGCGCGCAGACGAGAGAGGGACGAGATGAAAGCGCAGAACTCAACACGTTGGTCAGTAACACCGGGTGGCCTTAAAGGAAAAAAATGTATATAGACGTTTTGTGGCAATGGTCCTTTCTGATAGCGCATCTTATTTTTAACACCCCGGCACACCACATCCAGTAAACCGCTCACGTGCCTACTCCAATCTACTAGCGACCCGCGAAAAAAAATCAATTACAGATGAAAGCCCTGGTTCCACTGCATGCTTTGCCAGTGCTTCATCGATTTTATACACAGCTCCGCAAGATTATTCAATTGTCTTCATGTTCATGGCTGCAGTATGCCCAGCAGCTAAATGCCAAAGTCGATGTCTGTTAGCCACAAAGAGGGCTTCAGGCGAGAGTTCGTGTAGTTTTGCCGTTCCCCCTCCACTGAAGAAGCGCAGGCCTCAAGTGTTTTACAACAAGGTGCAGTTTGGGTTGCATGGCCTGCACAATCACACTACCGTGGCTTGCCTTACATTTTTGATACACAATCACAGTGCAACTTGGATTCACAAACATCTCAGTGCTTTGCCCATGTCAAGAAACGGGAGAGACACGGAGCTGTGGTCAGTGTACCTGGGTTCTTGCTGCAGACGACCAAGTATCGATCCACTGCCACGACTGTGAGAAGCCCAATACTTGCCATCCCGAAGAAGATGTTCAGAGCTGCGTATACCTGCACGTGGAGAGGGAGGGCCTCTATGAGGATGCTGTGTGCGCGTGTATAACCTTTGTGTATGTAGTGCAGTGGTTAGCGCGCTACGGATCTGGGCACCCGAATTAAATTTAACTCACGGCCAACGCCAGTGACGATTATCTGAACCGGTCCTGGGTCTCTCCTAGGTCAACTTAGCCTAAAATAAGTACCTGGTGTGAGCCTTTAAAAGATGCTCGCGAACAACACTCGTCCAAGAGGATTAAGGCGAGACTGGGGATTTAACACGTAGGCTTTTCACGACACACTGAGATTTACGCGATCTAACCCCCCAAAAAAACCCTATATTATGGGGTCTTTGTATGTCTTTATAGTCGATGTATCGACATGTACAGCCGCTTTATCGCCCCACTGCTGGATGAGGGGGCCACCCTATGCCATATGAGTCGTTGGGTGGGGTTGACCATACTTCACCATGCTGGGCAATGTGAATTGACGTTGGCGTGGAGTACAAACATGGGTGCATAGAAGCAGAGCATCACAATTTGTTTCCGCACTGCCCTCCACCGACCACAACGTAGCCTATGACACCTGTTTCACGTACTGTGGTCGCCCACCCTAAGCACTACTCGGGCTCACCACAGCTTGTGCATTCAGGGTGTTTGGAACACGGGGAGCTCTTCCTTAAAATCCCCGACACCACGGACGCAAAGTCGCACCTGGCAGCCGGTCCAGCCAAAGCGCCAGGATCCGTGGAGGTCTGACGCGGCGGACAGCGGGTACCCGACGGAGCTCACGCCGATGTCGGTGACCGCCAGGTTCATGATGATGTAGTTCGTGTGCGTGCGGAGCACGCGGAACCGTGCGAACATGCCCATGACCACCACGTTGCTGACGATGCTGATGATGCCTTCATTCATTCGGCCATTCAGCCATCCAGCGAGGCATGCATCCATCCATCCAGCCAGTCGTGCATCCAATACAGCAAGTCATTCATCCATTTAGTCATCCATCCATTCATCCACCCATCCAGCCAAACATATTTCAGCCATCCATTTATTTTATCCAACCATCCAGCCATTAAGCACAATATATTGGTGCATGCACATCGACAAAAAGACACGTATTATAAAATGCACAATAAATACAAATTACGAACTTGTGAGAAAAGTGCCGTAAGCAAGCACCTCTTAAGGCCGGCCCAGCACACAACTACGATGGTGTGGGCAACACCTCGTGCGCGCACACGCACGCACGCACAGCATGGCCAGCCTTTTGCGCTGGTGTTGATAGCACCGCACCAGGAACTCCGTTAAGGCCGAGCTGATCTAAGGGAGCAGAACCGGAGCGTGGCGACTGCACCGTTCTCCGTTCAGGCTACTGGATATCACGTGGCCATCGCCTCCCCCTGCCAGGCCATTTCCGTGGTTGCCAATATCCTCCATCGAATGTGGAGTGAGAAAGAAACCAAAACGAGTATTCGCCACGCGCACGAGTCAACGTGCGAGCGTGACAATGAACGCAAGAGGCATGCGGCAGTCCAGCCCACCCACCATGCAGTGAATTGTCAAGATTTAAGGTCGGGATAGGATTCAAGAATATAAATGTATATAGTGGTGAGAGTTAGCACCGCGAGTGGCTGCAGAGGTCACATGCATCACCAAAGTATGTATGTTGAACCTCTTTCGCATGGTATGTAACCAACCGTGCTAAACGGACAACAAACTAAACACAAACAGCAGTTTTAAAGAAATGAGATTTCAATCTAGATTTAAAAGTGCATAGCTCCAGTGTCTTCCTAATATCAGATGGAGGAACGTTCCAGACGCCCGCATGAGGGCATCTGAAAGCGCGGTGCAGCGACCGATGATGCAGTGACCGACCGACGACGATCTCACAAACGGACGCGTGCGAGTGTCCCACCGGCGGTGACGAGGTATGCCGCCACGATGTTGTGCTCCCGCTGCGTGAACACAGACTCGCCATTAAAGGCCCACGTCTCGTTCCAACTTGGCGGTGCCGGCATCCTCAACGTTCGTCGAGAGACAACTCCTTCGCACGAAACGCACGAGCGATGAGCGTCCGGCCTCAAAACGTCCACAGGGCCGCGTGCGCTTTTTGTCAGCGGCCACGGTAGGTGGAGAAAAGTTAAGAGGGAAAAGGGGATTAAGGCAATCGGAGGAGCGGCGCAGCGTGTTACGTTATCAACGTCGCCACACGTATAGTTTAAACCGTTTGGGGGTAAGGATTGTTAGCCGGCCTGGATTAAAAGAATAGCCTGCAACCCCCACCACCCCACGTCCAATCATTAAGGGTCTCACACCACACCCCACGTGCATTTTCAAACTACGTCAACGCAAACAGCACGAGGTTGGTCACCCCCACACGTGGTTACTTGCAAAATTGGGCTCTTCGTGGGAGTCTTGCCGAGCCACAGCTTGTAGAGTAGAAAGGTAGGAAGCTGTGCCAGTGGATGCCACATGGAATGCTGGAACATAAGCCACTGTGTGTGTACCCGATGCCACCAGTTATTCCAAGTCATCTCGGTCAAGTAATGTGAAGGTTGAGCTTGCATCGATCACAACGAACATGTTTCTGTTGGTCTCCACTGCAGATGCATGCTGTAAATACACACGTGACCCTGTATGCTGTAAACGTGTCTGGTAGCGTTAATAGAGGCCTGTGAGAGGTACGGACATTGCAAGCCTGAGCGTGGAAAACATTTTCCTGCATCAAGACTCCCGGCCAGCCACCCACCACATTTCCAGACTCCCACCCAACCATCCATTCCGTCTGCTATGCATCCACCCACCAAGCTATTCACTTACCCACCCATCCATTGTCCAACAATGAGAACAATCAACCCACCAATCAATCCGTCACCGAAGGCGTGGGGGGCAAGGAATCCAACAAGAATCAATGAACGGCCTCCAGGGTAGTCCAGATGTCTTGTGACCCCTATTTCATTCTCTAAAATGTAATATTCTTGTTAAGCAAGGTTTATTTAAAACATAAATGAATATGCCAAGTACAAAAAAATGTAGGGGTCAATTGGCGCAGGGGGGGGGGGGTCAAAAGACATCTGGCTCACCCTGTGGATGGTAGCACGGAGTGCCAACCATCGTGTCAACCCTTCTCACGCGAGCATGCGCACGCAAACACGCACGCTGTGCGCCATGCGGCAATAACCTATCGTGCAAGTCGGGGTTAATCCCGCTCCACACAAAGCCCACGCGCTTCAGTACGCACACGGGGGTCACATGTTTAAAAAATGTAAACATACACCCATAATGAGCACCTTAAGACAAATGCATGAAATCGTGCGAGAATCGATGCTTACCGATCCAATTTACGTAATGTGATCACGTCATCTGTGCGGCCACAGGAGGCAACAATCATTCAACAGAATGAAACAAAACGCATTTTTGAGTTAAATAAGAAGAATCCTGAATTGTGACAATTCGTCAAACTACTTGGGAGGAGGGTTGAATTCGTAGAAAAATAAAAGCATTCTCAAATTATCTTATTGATCAGAATGCTATTAACTCTCAAAACATTTTTCACAACCATTTTTTTTGTTTACAAACAGCAGCATTCTTAACAAAAGAAAAAAAAGCACTAAAGCCAGGACGGTCCAAGATTGAAAAAAAACTTTATTTGACACGTGATACAACATATTTTTGAAGCAATTTACCATGTGATGACATTCCAGCTACTTGTACGAGATAAACGGCAAGAGAAGCATGCCGACGGATGGATCCTCCACAAATGGATATAACTAAAAAGACGTCGACCAAAATTGCCTGGGGCGAACGAACATCCGACGCACTGCAGAGACACCCCACTTGACGTGCCCGTCTGCACAGAACGATATATAAAATCCCGCAGGCGCCAACGCGACGTGAGAGCGTCGCAGGGCCCACGCACGCGCCACCTTCCACTGAAAAACCGGCTCCAGCGTCGCCCGAAGTCGGTTTCTCCGCTCGGCTCACAGAACCTTGTAGCGTGACTTGTTGATCGGCTGGTACGAGTTTTGCTGCAAGGGAAGAGAAGACGAAGAAGTTTATCGTCACGCTGCCGGATTGATATTACCGCGAAGCTGCTTTTTTGCGTTTTGGTTTGTTGTCCTTCGCCGCACCTCCGCTTAGCATGGTTAGCTATGAACGGTGAGAAAGACGTTCAGCATACATACAAGCAAAGGCTCTTGTGATATCAGCTTCAGTGTCCTTTTACTTTAACAGAAAAAGTCGAGTGGCTTTTGCCTTTTGAAATTGGACAATTCCTTTCAACTATTTTTCCCACCAATCACATTTGCGCTGTGCTACTGTCGCCTTGTCACAAGGACATTCCCATTTGGAATTCTCACAGCAAGCAGTGCACCACCCTGTGTTACAGAGAATGACTCCAGAAGAAAGTAGTCATGGGAAAGTAACTATTTGGAATGTGCTTCAAAAAGATTATGAACACCTTTGGTATGCCCTGCAAGGAGTGTTCATTACACGCTAATCAAAGAAAAAAACAATGAAAGCCGGAATTTGCCATATTAAGTGAAAAGTAACATTTCTATTTTTTGTTATTTTGAGAATTTATGGGACCCATCAAGTCACCACATACATAGCACGTACGATCACGGTTGTGTAATCATGGGTCACTGTTCAGATTTGAACCCAAAATCTCAGCAGTGCCGGCTCAGTGCTTTGACCTAGCAATAGGCCACGTGAGTCACCCGGTCACCCCCTGCTCAAATCCTGAAGGAGCGCTTCCTATGGTGGAGAAATCCCACGCCTATGAAGGGGGTATCGCACAAAGGTCCCCACAGATGGGTTCAAAAACCCATTCTCTGTGCGGCCACCTAGCAGCTCAGCGAGTTTGGGAGTTGTACTAATCTGTCATCCACCAACCCTTGACTCCAAAGAGGTGGATTACAGGTGTGCCACCCAACACCATCGCATCCGAATACAAAAGTCCAACCTTTATCTTCGTCAAATAATAATTTACAGTGAAGGCTAGCGTGTGGCTACATCAGCTTGCTGCACATCGGGTGTGACGCCCTGCATTTCGTACAAGGAAAGGCGTGACCGCCACAGAGAGAATGGTGTGGTGTGCAGAGAAAACGGTGATTGGTGCGGGCTGGGAATATTGGGTGGGCTGCACGGGGAGAACGGTGTGGCGAGTGTCCACTGTGCGATGCTGCTCTCTCACCAGCCTGATGAGCTCATCCTTGATGAGACGAGTGACCTCAGCCTTGGCCTTCTGCACAGACAACTCGCTGGTGCCTGTGGTGGACACGCGCGGCTTGTTAACATCGTGCACGGCAGAAAAAAACTCAAAACATGGTATAGGTGCGGCCGTTGAAATCGCTCGTTCGTGACAATATTGACAAAAGGGCTTCTACTAGAGTGGGCTCTAGAGAGGGGAGAGGGAAGTTGGTCTACTCGTTCACACTGGCCAGGCATCTTGGAATATATGAAAGTAGGCAGACTTTACCCCACCACAAGCAACATGACTCTCGACTAATCGTGGTGCACCCATTTATACTGCGGCAGCGTGGAAAGAGGTGGGAGAGATTTAAGAAACTTGTTAACTTTTTCAACTGCCAGCGCCGGGAGATTGAACAGACCTCTGGAATGTGTGCTAACCTTAACTCCACGGTGTCATACAAGGCCAACCCCCCTCCCCACAAACAAATGAATAAAGGAATGCTCAATTACAGGGTGACCATTCAAGCGAGCAGCGTGGCAAACTGCTACAAGCTGGGATTAATTGTGAAGCAGGAGATTTAAAAAAAAAATCCTCCCTTAATCCCCAATCACAACTGTGCCGAGACGGAACAATTTGTTCAAGTTTGGCATCTAATAAATAAATGATCACGGCATCTTTGAGGATTCTATATATATGTATTACTATTTCCACCGAGGCCAGAACAAGAGCATTTGGATATCATCAACAATGAATAAACAGCAATGAGGTCATGGATCGATTGACCACGTCCATGTTGTGGATCTCTTCGGAGCAAGCGTAAGCTTCTTTAGCATTCGCAGAGCTCATAATATCATAAGGGCTCTTACACAAGCCAACATCCACTCTGGCCAAAGGGGATCCTTTTCAAGTGAAAATCAAAGCAGAAACGGTTTGCAGTTGCTGGTGGTACGAGAGAATAAACTCGCGGTCGTTCCCGTGCTCGTGAACCTGAGTTTGCGGTGAACACGCACACGTTCAAGTGTGCCTTGGAAGCAAATTGATGATGCAGAAAGTAAAAAAAAACACGTGTTTTAATATGCATCCCGATGTGTATTCACGGAGAAAATGGGATTACATTTTCAGCGGACGGCAGCGAAAATCTACTGCTGTACCGCGCCAAGTCTTTGCTCGCCGTCTTCACCAACCCGCACTGACTAGTGTGGTTAAGTATGGCCATAGAGCGCCCACGACAACACACCATGTAGAAGCCCGCATCCAAATGTACCTGAATACAAATGCTCTTAAATTCACCACAATGATACTCACCAATGTAAACATAAAACTGGCTATTGCAATAGTCCTTTGAGGCTCAGTGCTTAAAGAATAATGTTAAAGAGCCTCCTTGCTATCTCAGGCATTAGAAGGTGCCTATCTGTATGTGGAGAACTCTTTCCCATAACAGCAGGCAACATGGAAGTGTTTATGCATGTTGAACTTCTTTCGCACCGTACGTAGCCAACCGTGCTAATCGCAGGTGCGAGGGAAGGACAACAGACTAAACACAAAAAGCAGCTATAAAGAAATTAGTTTCAATCTAGAAGGCCAGAACCTGCTGACCCTGCTGATTAGACTCAGAGAAGATGAAACCGATCCATATATTGTCTGCTTAAACCGACTTTTCTGGAAGGAATTTGATCCGGGAGTAAAAAACAAATCCTTATCATCCCATTCGTTTCCTCCTTTGGCCCAAGTGGCAGTGTGAATTCCACTTTTTCCAATGGGGCAGGACCAGGCGAGGAGTGCCTGTGGACAGACGCAGATGACCAGTGCCGCCGGGTGAGCGTCTCACTCTCAATGGCCAGGTAGATCTTGCGTTCTCCGTCAGTCGGCTCTTTGCCCGGAGCAAAGTAGGAGCCACGGATTGTGATGGCGGCCTCCGAGTATTCGCTGATCTGCGCCAACGCCTCCTTTGAGGTCACCTTCCAGCGAGCCGTCTGCAAAACACAAATTGCAACCGCACGCACAATCGGCCGACACACACGAGTGTTTATGCATAGAAATAGGCACGTAATGATTTATTGAATCGTGAAATGTGTGTTATGAGCGTGCGTGTGTTTGGCAATTAACTGCATGTGTCCGCGTTTGTGCGTACGTACAAGCGTGTATTACAGCGTGTATGTTTTTAGCTAGTGTATGTCAGATCTGCGGTTAATGACAGCTGTCATTGTGCAATTCCTTATGAATCGAAATCACGATATAATTTTAATTTCAGCTGACAAAGCTGCTTTAATTGTATTTATAATTGACCCCTGGTCTAATATGTATGTGTACGAGCGTGTATGTATGTGTACGAGCGTGTATGTGTATGTCTGCCACTGCGTGCACGTGCAAGAGAATATGTATATGAAACATTTGCAAATGTTTGTGTGTGTATAAAAACATGCATGTATGATTATGTGTATGTATGATTATGTGTATAAGCATATGCGTGCATATGTGCATGAGTGTACATGTGTGTGCGACTATGTGTGTATATGTATACGTACAAAGGGTGTGAATACTTGGGTGCGTGCGTACGAGCATGTCAATACGAGAATGTGTACATGTACAGTTGGAATTTGCACGTCCCCGTGGTGACGTGGACTTTTCTCTGGGTCCTCCGGTTTTTCCCTCCACATTTAGAATCAACAAGGCTGCTATAAGCCACTACGTTGATCTATCATGTGTGGCCAGGTTGCTCCTGAAAAAGAGCCAAAACAGCTCAGTGGGCCTTACCTGGTAAAAATGAAAATGTTTTTGTTTTTTAGTTACCTGCGGGAAGTCGTTGATCTCGAGCTCCTCCTCGTAGCGCCGCACCTTGTCCGCCTGCTTCTCCTGCTCCACGCGCTCCTCCTCCAGCAGCTTCTCGGCGGGCACGTAGTTGAGCTTGGCGTTGATCTTCTCCGCCAGCTGTTCGGCGATCGACTTGGCCGACACCATGGGCACGTTCATGGTGCCGCCTCGCATGATGCTGTTGGTCGCCTGCTGGATCACGTCCTGTAGGAGGGAGCGGGCGCGCGTGGGCAAAGCACGCGAGTGGACGTTCACCGCCGCACCGAGTTATTCGTCACCGTCCACATTTTCCAAATCACTGGCAAATTTAGTGAATTGGGGGAAAAAAAGCCACACGGCAACATCGCCCTCTACTGGTACTCATCCCCATCTTGTGCCGCACAGGGGCAGCTGCCTCCGGGGGGTCCCCTTGGCTAGACTGGAGCAGGGCATTCGATTGTATGAAATGAGATGTAATGCGAGGCGCTTGCTTTGAGGCTGCCGAGGCATTTAAGCACCCTATAAATGCACGTCCTTCAGGGCTTATTTTCCCAATGAATATTTTCCAGATGGCTGGAAGCACTGGAGAAGTCACAGTCATAGGGGTGCACTGGATGTGGTGTAGGGGGTGAGGGAATATTTTCTTGATCGCCAACCCAGTCAGACATTGCTGAAATTATGCTATGGTCAAATTTCACGGTGTGATATCGATTTAATAATCAAATGTTTTACATCTGGTATTCACCAAATACTTTTAAGTATTTTCTTTTTTTTCGCCAGTCCTATTGCTTAGAAACCGCACGAGTAGTCAGGTTCTATAAAACATCCAAGTGAAAAACTCCCAAAGTTAACATCGATTGTGACAGGAAACTGTCGCAATCGATAATAGTTTGCTGGGAATAGTTCTGATGTGAATTGCAATGGACACACAGCCATGTCCAGGAATTGGCCCGAGGTAGCCAGGATTTGTGGTGCAGTGCTACCCACGTTCACTTACACGCACTCACAAGTACAGTATACAACAACCGCCGTTTGCCACTTGTGCCAGGCTAGGTGCACCTTGAGGCCACGTGAACTGCCGAAAGCTCGCTGGCAGGAGGTCACGGTGTAGTACAAACACATACACACGAGTGCATGTATAGACGATGATTCCCCTATCAGACTGGGCATTGTTAAACCTTGCCGCTGGGTCAAACTGTGCAAGCGAGACAGCTGCCATTGAGAGGCGCTGCACATGGGGGCGTGGGTGAGTCGGGAGAGAGACGGCACCACGCCAGACATCTCTCCCACCCCCGCCACCATCCCCCCCCAGTGCTGACATACATTACTGTGCCAGGTGCTCGTTTAAAAGGTGCAATATAAATCGCACAGCTCTCAATCCCGTAGCTTCACACCTATGCTGTGCATCCCAGGATGCCCGGGATGAATTTGAAGCCGTCTTAATGGGATACCATCGAGGCGTGTACTATGACGTAAGCAAGAAGAGCTACAGATGTTTTTGGGTTGTATCCCCTTGAAGGCAAAGGACGAATTATCGCATTGCTACATATTGGCCATGAAGCGCACGGCGAGCAATCGAAATCCAGAGTAGGCCCCGACTGTACTGCAGTGAATCACCTGTCCCCGACAGAGCGCATGCCTACAAACGCTTGTGCATGGCACTGCGTTGGGTTCAATAACCAGCACAGAGTGAAGTAGGCAGTAAAATCACCGGGCTGCCAAACCTGGCCAAAGTGCAATGGGTGTAACACGTCAAAGGCTTTATTTAACGGGGGGCCTGTGCTGCAGCGCAGTGGTAGATGTCATCGTCTCGGGGGCCTAAGTGGCAATATTTATAGGCGCTAGCGAGTGGAAACACTTGCCAATGGTATTTTCCGCCCACGTGAACGCGCACGAGATGTGCACGGCACGGCCAACGAGAGTGGAAACAAAGCAGAGCGATGCGGTAAGAAGGCGAGTGTGCGTGCCTGTCCTCTTGTTCAAGTATACAAAGACAAAGATTACCCCCCCCCCCCGCATAGTGATACAAACTGTTAGAGACAAGTGTTGTTAGCGAGCGACTATGAAGGCCGGCAGGCGCACACCAAGGGGGTGGTGTGGCCTAACACCACGTGCGGCCGCCTTTTTATTTTTCAGTGATGATGTTTCAGCACTCCACTAGGTACTCATTTGAGGCCGATATGACCCCAGGGTCATTTCCGAAGTCACCATCAACTGACGTTAACCGTGGCCGAAAATCGAACTCAGATTGCCGTGCTCGTGGCGTAAAGCTACAGAACCACTAAGCCACTGCTACGTACGTAACACACGACACCCGCCAGCCACGCACGTACCATGGCCTCTGTGCCGAGGTTGCGCTGGGAGTTGATCTTGGACGCGAGCCTCTTGGCGATCTCCAGCTTCTGAGCGTTGCTCCCGGATGGCATCATTATGCCGGTGGAGGACGCTCCGTGCGCATTCACGTCCTTCACGATCTTCTTCGAGCGGAACATGTTCTCGATCTGCTGGTCGATCTGTAAAGGCAACGAGCCAGCAAAAAAAAAAAAGCCAAGCCAAGCCGGTGTCATTTCAAATTGACGAGGTTTCGCTGAAAGAACCGATGCACCGCCACTGACCCTCCTCCCCTAAACAGCAGGACGAGAAGAGGAGTTCCCGGCACGTATTTTCACATTTGAACTTCTGCCGTACTGTACGTAACCTACTGTGCTAATCGGAGGTGCGGGGGAAGGACAACTAACACAACAATCAGTTCTAGAGACATGAGTTTTCAATCTACAGAGCGTTCCAGATGGCCACAGAAGCACATCTGAAAGGGTGTGATGCAGTGACCGTCTTTGTTCGATGGTTTTGTGCACCGCGCCGGGCACTTGGGGGTTCAACGCGTCTGCGCTAGCTTTCTGGAACTCGCTCAGCTGGGGGTGGGTTGCCGCCTTCGGGCAAACAGTCCACCGCAGCTCCCGACGAGGTTCAAGAAAGACCAGCGAAGGGCCTTGTAACGAGCAAAGGGCCTTGGAATCTTTGGAATCACGTCGCTGTGTAAATGTGGATTGTGATTACAATAATTGTTATCATCACAATGACTCACGTCTCCGGACCCCTCCTCCTCGTCCGAGTCGTGCATCCCCAGCGCCACCTTTTGCAGCTTCTTGCGCTCGTTGACGAGCTGAGTGCTCCGTCTCGTCAAACTTGAAGCCCTTGCCCGAGAAGCCGCTGCTCTTCCTCATCGTTTTGCCCTCCTGTAAAGTCGGGGGAGGTGAGGGTGACAGTTTTCACGGCACTCGCAACATTGCAATGGGAAGTACAATTTGGAATTAAACAAAATCGAAATGTGACTGTATTTACAAGTGGCTTAAGATGTACTGCATGGCAGGCGCGGTATAAAATGTAAATGATGATTAGATGGTGGGCCTAGTTATTTTGTAGAGGCAGTCAGTAACAGAACAAGAATATGGAAGATGGAAGCACGGGCAGCTGGGGGAAGGGAGTTCCAGTCAATGGGGACTTCGACAGAAATCCTTTTGTTGTTGGAGCAAAGACTGGGTGGAGGGGGAGTGGTGGGAGATGAGAGAGAGGATAAGTAGGAAAGTGCACGGAGGGGAGAAGAGCGAGATGAGAGGGAAGAGGTAGCCAGAGGCGAGTCCACGGTGGATCTTGAAGAGCGAGTGCGATCTTGAAGTGGAATGGGAACCCGTGGATGGGAAAAGCAGAAGTAGAAAACTCTGCAAAATTGTGAAGAATAATGTTCAATGAGTCATGCAAGGGACATCAAACAACGTTCACAAAATTGTTGATATATGCGTAGTTAAATGTGTTTTATACATTCATGGTTGGATTGAAACCGCTGCACGACCCAGTTCCATTATTTATTTTTAATCCTGACGTAACTGACGCTGCTGTGCATCCTATTCTTGGGTGTGCGTTCCAATGTAGCATTGCCCAAGTGCTCTCTGGATTGAATAGGAGACCAATTGAGCCTTGCAAAGACAGAGAAGATGTTTGATGATGATGATCATGACATCTCCATGACATCTGTGAAAAAAGAGCTTCAATAGCTCATTGGATTCCTCCAGACTAAATAAAGAGTCTGATAACAACGATGTGTAATCCATCCCATCACTGGTGTCGCTCGCTCGCGTTTTGACGAACGCAACCAAAAACGTACGGCCTTCTGCTTCTCCCTGAAATCGGTCCAAAGCTTCTCGAGGTCGGGCGGGAGGGGCGTGCCGGACAGCTCCAGGGCTTTGATGATGTCCCCCGAGTATCGCTCCTGCTCACTCGTGATGAACGTGTACGAGTATCCCTGCGGAACGGTGGAGGTGGTGGGGAGAGGACCCATCAATCGTATCAGCCCCTCATGACAGCAAAAAACGCACGTTCACGTGCCAAGCAACTTTCACAACATTGCGGAATTGCGGGCTGAGTGACGGTGTCGTCGCGTGGTAGGCGTGGGGCCCTGGTGGAAAGAATGCAATGCCCCCCCCCCCCCCGGTCCAATTTAAACCCTCCCTTCTTCGTAGCTCGGCACCTGGGCCCGGTTGGGCCACAAAGCCCTGGTGATAGCTGCACGACAGCTGCAGAGTGAGATCCGTCACGGTTTGTAAGTGTTTAAATGGAAAGCAAATAAAATTACCGCACTGACCAGCGTGGTCAAGTATGGACAAATAGCCCCCATGACTGACACGGTGTGAGGGTCTTCTAATAGCAGCTGGCTTGCTTCAATTATTATTAAGCAGCTTCATGGACAGTTGGGCTATAAACGTGGTCCCCTCGAGTCTCTTGAGCCCAATTGACAACCGACTGTCCACTAGTGCGTGATGACATCGATACTGTGTCTATGCAGAACTTCTTTCGTACCGTATGTAGCCAACCGTGATAATCGGAAGTGCGGGGGAAGGACAACAAAATGGACGTAGGAGCTGTTATATAAATCTATATGAGATAAGATAACAGTGGCACAAACGACATAAACTAAGCAACTTATTTTTTATTTTACCAGCTATAAGACCCACTGAGTTATACGGCTCTTTTTCAGAAGCGACCTGGCCACAAATGATAGCTCAACAAAGTGGCTTATCGCGTGGAAAATTAAGGCAGCCAAATTATCTCAACGCATGTTTCTTAATGTGGAGGGAAAAACCGGAGGACCTGGAGCAAATTCCACATGACTACGGGGAGAGAGAGACATGCAAACTCCAAATATACAGCAGCAGGCGTCAGGGTCGGAATGGCACCCAAGACCACCTGTCTACCAGGCGAGGTAGTTAACATCTTGCCACCATGCCGACATAGATGAAGCGAAGGCGATCTCGGCCGATAATAATTATTGGTGTCCACCTTGTTGCCGGCGCGGCCCGTGCGGCCCACGCGGTGCACGTAGTCCTCGTAGTGGTTGGGGCAGTCGTAGTTGACCACCATGATCAGATGCTTGACGTCGAGGCCCCTAGCCGCCACCGACGTGGCAACCATCAGGCGGCACACGCCCGACTTGAAGTCGTTGATGATGCTGTCACGGTCGTACTGGTCGATGCCTGCGCGGAGAGGGGGGGGGGTGGAGAGGCACGGGGGAGAGAGACAGTCAGCGTCTATGACCAAATCACCCCAAGTGAATGGGCCCGACCCCACCAGATCTGAGGTGCTAAGCACGGCTGAACCTGGTTAGTGCTAAAGATGGTGGAGTGCACAGCAATAGCAAGGTCTGGTAGGCTTGGGCTGCATGTTGGCCAGGACATGGCAGTATGGCAGTTGTTGATTTATCATATTCAGTGATACCCCTTCATGTCATTAAGAGTATACTTTTTATTACAATAATTTCCTGCCCATTATTTATGAATGCGGATGTAATCAATGAAAACCTACCTTGGGGATTGATTGGATCATACTTCAGCACGAAGGTTAGTGCAGATTGGCAAAGGTTTGGGTCCGTGACCGGTGTTAGCTGTGGCCAGGAATTGATTTCAGGTGGTTTCGATTCATAGCGCAGTGCGCTAACCAGCACCCCACTCTTACTTTTGATCAAATCAACACAGGAAGTCGCGACAACGGAGGACGCAATAGGACGAGCACGCAGGGGCCTGACACCGCGTGTGCAGCACCGCTCACCTCCATGCAGTGACAAGCAAGGGTAGGACGCCTTCATGAGGTCCTTGAGCAGTGAGTCGGCATGCTCCTGCTTATCCACAAACACGATGACAGCCCCCTTCTCCTGGTACAGGCCCAGCAGCTCCAGCAGCTTGTAGAACTTGGTGTCCTCCTCGATCACGATCTGTGGTCGACGTGCACAGCGCTCGATCGTGACGGGCTTCCCACATTCAAGCCCAGGCCTTCGGCAGCGCCAGCTCTGTGCTTTAACCATCATCGAGGCACCAACCAAGCAACCAAACTGCAAACTGTGATGACTTTTTTTTGTTACTTGAAAGCCGCTGACAAAAAGGTTTTGAATTCTTGTGAACCAAATCACCAACGGTAACGCAGGTCCAAGGGTGGTGAGCGAATGACGTTAGACTAACGGCACCGAAGACTGTTTAGTCAGGAGAAAACGTGAGCTTAATCATGAAAGTAAGAGGCTTAAAGAGTGCAAGTACATTCATGTGTACTTTTGTGCGGGCATTCACACACGCATCCAAACATACATGTCTACATGACTCCCATAGGCACTCAACCTTAAATTAGTATGTGGTGTGATGTTGGTCACCCCCCCCCCCCCCCCGCGCGTCGTGTGCCCTACCGGCCTTAACAGGCGTTCTATAACAGCATTTGTCCCAACAGTCAACAGCCTGTAGCAAACACGTCTCCAGATACTCTTGGATGATGGCATTGGGGGGGGGCAGGGCTGTTGTTGGGGGTCACCGTAACAGTGATATACCACGAAGGAGAAGAGCGAACATGGGTGGGCGAAAGGGACATATGGTGGTGCAGAGCCAACCCCAGCACCCCACGAGTGGTTAACCGAGTCTGTAGGCCTACAGGGGTATCTCAGTCTTTGTACGTGCGTGCGTACCTGCGTGTGTAAGTTCATGCACACGCAGCCAGATGTGGTGCTGGCCATTCATCCCCTCATGTGCGGTGCTGGCCTTCATAGGTGCTCGCCAACAGCGCTTGCCCTAACAGTCTGTTAAAAAGCTACATGGGGGATCTTTGTCTTTGCAGGTGTGTACGCGTGTGCGATGCCGTCTCCGCCAGCCACCCGTGACCCTCACCACGTGCTGCTCGACGTCGGAGCAGACGACAGAGCGACCTCCGACCTGCACCTCGACGGGCTTGTTGAGGATGCGGCGAGCGAGGCGCCTCCATGGCGCGTGGAAACGTGGCCGAGAACATCACCGTCTGCCGGTCCGGCCTCGACGTCTCGATGATTCGCATTACCTAGACGAGCGTCAACACGCACGCGCGTTTGTGACAGGTGAGGGATGGATCGCTTGTCTAATTCACGCACACGTACAGCTCGTTTCTCAACCCGCTGCTGGAGTGTGAGTCTCCCAACGCCATCCAGACAGCGAGGGTAAGTTGACCATACTTCAGTGCGGGTTGGTGAAGGTGGAGAGGAGTACAGAAAAATAATGGATTTTTATTAAGTGCCCCCTACTGCCCAAGCCTAATGTATGCCTGTTTTATGCATGGTGGTCACTCATCCAAGCACAATCCAGGCTGAACTCTGCTTAGCTTACAAGGTCTAATGAGATCGGATACCTTCTGAGTGATTTGGTCATAGGCCGCCTAATTCCATGCTGGAGTGTGCCTCTGGTGTGACCGGCCGTGGCGTCGGCCTATCGCACCACAGCCCTGCATACCATCATCAACAGCGGCTAACACAGGACGGGAGCCGACCTCAGGGTGGACAGAGATTGATGCGCGGCCGATGTCAAGGCGGACCGAAACATCACGAAGGTGTTGGACTGCGCTCAGCGCGGCCGGCGTGCTCAGGGGGGGGGGGGGGGGGGTCGCCTGGCGGCCACTCGAGGTGGACCACTACGCTCACGAATGATGATGACGGTGTCTCATTGAAACGGAGATCTTCGAGAAGTGTCACTTACATATTTAATTACAACCTTTGTGCTATCGGGATTATATCACGAGATGCAGTGTCCATTCAAAACTATTGCAGAGCCTGTTATATAACGGCCCCGTGGTACGATATATCAAATGAAATTGATTTATCCACACAGTAGGGGGCGACCTTTCTCCACATACCCTGCTTCTGTAAAATATTCCTTGCATGGCAGCCAAACCGATATAAAACTTTCTCAGTGCTGTAATTTGCCAAATTAAGTTATGAGCTCAATATAATGATGGAATGTATTATATTCATCATTGGTAATCAGGTCAAGGCCAGTAACTCACTACAGTGATGGGTGGCTACCAAGATTCAAATCCAGGATCCCGATGGTGATAGCTTTAGCGTTGACCAGAGCCACACAGCCACCTCCTGCAATTGAGATTAGAGTGAGTCAGGGTAGAATTACTCATGCCAGGTTTAAAATTGTGCCAAGAGTAAAGATTATTATTTTGCTTATTTACCCATGCCTCACCGAGTCTCAACTTTTGCAGGAGTCTCAACTCTGCCAGGAAAGTTTTCGCAGTATATTGCTATGTGTAATCCCAATGGAGTAATTTGCAAGTATTTATTCTACGTGGCAATGTTTGGCCAATACCACTAACATTGTATGCGTTTTTATATATATTTTTGCTATGGAACAAAACCCCAGAACCTGAAGGTAATCCATGCAGAACACGGGGAGAACATACAAACCCACATGGAAAGATACCAAAGTAGAAATCAAAATCAGGCCCTTCTTTCTGCGAGGTCACAAAGTGTTCCTGCTGCGCCCCCCTGCTGCTTCTTATGCTCACTCGAGTAACCTACGTGACATGTGGTTTCTTCCATCCACACAAGGAGCACGCAATGTTTTATCGATTTAAAAAGAGCTTATGTTCACGACACATGCATTGAACCGTGAGAATACATTATTTCTGATATACAAGTATTGTATGTGACTGGTTAATTAATTGCAATGTTGCAGCCACTATCAATTCTACATGTAAAATATAAAAATTATAATAGGGGGAAATGTCATATTCATGTAAATTAAACAGGACTGATAATCATGAGAATTCAATGAATTGTGGACAGCCTTAAAACTTACATCACATGTAAGACGTCTCTCCGTTTTCAGGTTGTACCGCGTAGTATTTGGCATGATGCCTGACATTGTACTCCAAGAGCTGGGAGCTTCTTCAGGAACTGAATGTATTCATATATTTTTAGTCATATAGACATTCAGTTCAGCATGACTTCCCGACATTTAGCTCGATGCAGTATAACCCGTAAACACATTGGACAGCTCTACAACTCTACAGCAGAACCACAAACACCTACGCTGCAGACGACGACATCTTTCACAATCTCATCCAAAAATAATGTGCCTCTTACAATACAGCACCTTAATGGTCCATTAGCTGAACTCTGACCTAAAGGAGGCCTGTCACGCACCACTATAATCCTAACAATGAAACCAGCATCACAACAAGGCCACTTTTAGTTTAGATGGGGAACGCTGTAAACAGTACGACGATCAGTACTGACCCCCCGAGATTCTCAGCTATGCCGGGGTAATTTCAATGGGGCGGTGCGGCCCCAATTTACGTGTTTAACGCTAGTACGGTATAAGAGCACCGAGTCATGGGCACATGGTCCAGCATCGTGTGTACCCATCGGCCAGGGCGAGAGGCGGTAGGACAAGACCTGGCTCATCCAGAGGCGAGAAACCTGAGCCCAACAAATAAAAAGTGAAATAAATACGAGCGGCAGTGTTGATGGTGGCAGCGCATACAGACGACCTCAGTCAAAATCAAAAGCACATGTCCTATCAGGTGTCGGTGTGCTTTAATGCCATCAATCTTTTAATAACTTGTTTATCTGTAGAACTTGCATGGCTATGAGGGAAGAGATAAAATGAAACTGGCAATGCACACAAGGTGCAAGTCTGCTGGCAATAATATGGGATGTGGGGACTTTATTACTGACATGATAATTAAGAGACTTGGTTTTATTTCTGGGGAGACGCTGGGCAGGAGGTGAATTGTGTAAAGATCTCCAGCATGAATACTAAGCATGTGATACATTCACTCCCGAGCAATTCCATGAATTGTCGCGATCCGAGGTCACGATTCGATTCAGGAACCGATGATTTTCCTCTCTCTCATGTCTGACATCACATAAGTATCCCCGCACAAACAATTCTAGGCAGATAAAGAGGAAATACCAGCAAACGGGAAAGAGTCTGGGGCGCGTTATTACCTGTGGCTCGAAGCCCATGTCGAACATGCGGTCGGCCTCGTCAAGAACCATGTATGTGGCCCTCCTGAAGTTCGTCACCCGCCCTGCATGGAAAGGGGTGGCACCACATGACCAAGCGTTTCAGGGATTACTCGCCGTCAACTCGCACGCAAGCAGCCTGTGCGCTGATTGACATCCTTCCAAGAGCCAAGCGATGAAGGATGTGTGGTTTTTATGATTTTGGAAACTTTGCAGAATTTTGCCCCGTGGGCTGCAGAAGAGTTTGTTGTGGGACTGGAAAGGGGAAGTGGATGGGGGAGATGTGGAAATGTTAATGAGGAAAAGAAACTGAAATGTTTCAGTTGTGAAGAAATCCCCGGGGCAGAGCAGCCGGCTTCAAACGTGGTTTGCAAATTCGCCAATTATCAATAGGTTCATGGAAGCCAACATCAATGGCCACACTTAACGTGCAATGCTGATGTGCATTAAAATTCATACTGGACATGCAACAAAACAAACCCCTGAATGCTGATAAAAGGTACACACCGTAAAATAATTGAAATCTTGGAACACTGACTAGAATGAAGGATTTAAATTCTCTCAAACGACTTTGCAAACGTCACATTTTCACACCTTTACCAATGCAACAATTACACTGTGTTAAGCCATGTGCACAGGGTTATTTGTGTGTCATTGTTATTCTGATAGTAAAAGGAGCTGACGCGATTAATGGCATAAGGATCACAGTAATGATTGCACTCCACGGTGTGATGACGGAGGTGGTAACTTGACCTCGTCCCGGTCACCGAACAGATTTTAATCTCAATTATGCTTCGAGGCTAAAAGTTAAGCAACCTTTTACTTTTGAATTACAATAATTTGTGACTGACCTTTAAATGCATTAATTTTGCAGCATGCGGGTCACCTAATAAACAGTGAAACTTTAATGCCAAAATTCTCATCTCGATTACTATCAATTATAATACTTTCCAAAATATTCTTATATAAGCAACCTTTTAAATGTTAAGGTCATATTATTTTAGTTTACATGTTAAAAGGTAGCGTTAACAACGATGGTGCAAACGTATTTTCAGCCTTTGCCGAATTCTTATTCTTGTACGTGCAGTGTACGAACATATTTCTGAACAGCTGATGCTTCAGTATTCGACACGCATGCCACCACACTGTGTACCACCCATCACAGAGCCATAATTACACACACGAGAGTTTAACACAACTCGCTCCCCACTAGCAGCACTTCACAGCATGTTCTCAGCATTTCAATATCACGCAAACATATTTTTTTTCACGGCTCGAGCCATCACGGACCGGCGCAAAATCACAAGCGCCCGCCCGCCTGCCCGCCGCGTGTTCGACCGAGCTATGCTCGGGTATCCCATGGACGAGAGAGAAGCGGCCACCACGAGGAAGTGGGGAGAGGCGAGAGACGTGGCCACAGCCGAGACAACAACAACGCGCTGTGGCTCGGACCTGAGGGACACACAACACACATTACGCCGCATGTGCGGGAGGGTGGTCCCGCGACCGCACGCTAAAAACCGACGCACATATCGGAGCGGCGGTGCTTTTTGTAATTAGGTAGGCATGTAGCGACTCGTCTATTAAAGTACTGTAGATTATTTTATGGTTTTTAAAGTTTTTCGTCTACTTCCCAAGTTTTATTCTTATCATTAGATGAATTACCCATCGGATCTCTCACACACCAGTACAACCCATCGTGTTACAGAAACGGCCCACAGAAGTAGATATGACAGATCTACCTCTGAAATGTTCGTCGCCGCACGAGTCAAAACAAAATGTTTTAATTCTCAGAGCTATAGCCAAATTAAGCGCATGAACAAATTTATTGTGATGATAAAATTGATTATTATGCCGACAGCACATGGGTCAGCTTGTACGCTTGAATAGATTGATTGTGTTTCATGCAAATTATATGCACATTCTCTGTATGCTGATGGCAGTACAAGCAGGCCCCCGAATCATGAGAATTCACTGAATCGTTACATGTCCATGATGAGTAATCATCTGCAGCAACCCAAAAAATAAACCTAAGACATATGCATCGATTGTGGTCTAGGGTTGAACAGCAAATTGGAATGTCAAAATATACATTATGCAGCAGGTCGTTGTTTAAATGTCTGCAGCAGAATCCTCATCATGCTGTGGTGCTTTCGTTTGACTCATTGTTGGCCAATCCAGCTGTCGGTGCATGTACATTAACAGCCCTTTGTCAATTAACTGCTGGGTTGGAGCATCCTCATGCCCTGTGGATCGAAATGGTTATTTGACCATACTTCACCACACCGGTAAGTGTGCGTTGGCGAAGGCGGAGAGCACAGACGTGAGAGCAGAATGCAGCATAGCAACGTCACTGCCGTACATTTTCATAGACCTGAGTCATGAGACGCCTGATGCAACGGGGGAGGGGGGAAAGCACCACATCGATGGCACAGTGCATATTGGAAGCTCGTGGAAGTTGGGTGTGTGTGCGCTGGAAAATGTAAACGCATAAATGCAGTGTGCAGTCCTGAAGGTGATTATAATGGGGTTGCAGAGGTGAAAGGTCAGCTTGTGTTTTGCAATACAATTTTAATCCACAGAGCAACTAAATGCAACGTCTCAAGACACTTTTCAGCAATTCAAATAGAGAGGGGAGTCATTGTTACAGTGTAAAAATGAGACAGTGCACAACTGTAGGTGATCGTAAGCAGAGGAGACAAAGAAAGGTAAGGTGTTTAACGGGAGTATAAAATCAGCCATATTGATAAAATAGGGAAGAGCATTCCAGACAGCAGAGGCACCAGCAGAATTAGCAGCCCCCACTTCAAAGATAAAAGTGATACTCTTTCTTTAAGTTCTCTGCCCAAGAACAGGTGCTTGATTGAAGTTCCCTCTACCCTATCGGATCCCAGTGCCCAATCTCCACCTCGCCACTCCACACTCCAAACAAGGGCTCTTGGGCAAGGACGAGGGAAGGATTATTGGAGGTGCCAGCTTCCCTTTGCTCTCCCTCAAGTGTTCTCGTGGAGACACTATCTTCAGATGCAGAGTTACGGGGCCATATTTAAACTGCTGCACCGCCATGGATCGACGTTGTTTTGGCAACAAAAATAAAGGCACTGTTTTTTGCACACTTGGCCGTTTGTGCGGGAATCCGCAACACACATCTGGATCTGATTCGCGCGGTTTACGCGCTCGCGCAAGCATTGATGACGGCGGCAGTGGCGGCAATGGGCCGACTCTTTTTGCAGAGAGTTATCGAATTAGCAGATTCTGCGAGAGGCCCCAGTGAAGTCAACTATGCGCTGCGTAGTCGGTACACGCCACGGATATCGCTTCCGTACAAGCACGCGGGTCGGTCGTAAATCTCGCGTCCTGCCCCGGTAACACGAGCGCGAGGGCTTACCGCTGTTTGCAGCCAGCATGTCGATCATCCGGCCGGGCGTGCACACGATGATTTCTGCTCCCCTCTTCAATTCAGCGATCTGTAACAAAACACAAGTGCATGAGAAAACGCAGAACTGAAACGGCCGAGCATCTTAGGGGGGAGGTCAGAGCATCGAGCCAAAGCAGCCGAAATTCCAGAGCGTGGAATCCAGGTTTCGGCCACCAGCTATAAAAAACGGTTTCGTAGAGTGTAGTGAGAGGTGACGGTCTTCACTTGGTTACTGATGACGACGTTGCATTAAATTAGATCTTTCACTGAAGGAGAAACTGTAGATTTGAAGTGGCCAGGGGCGGGGGGACGGTCTCAGGGGGTCAACACTCTGAGCCAACACTGCTGAGCATCTGGGTAGAATCCAGGTTTCAGATAGCCGTGATTAAACTGGTCTTCTCATAAGTGCAGTCCATGGTAACCTGAGCCTGGTTAGCAATTTATTACACAAAACGGTCACATTACATTTGGTTTCTCACTTAATTGGGCTACATTCCAGATCTGAGAAAATTACCGCTTTGACCGTCGAGTGAGAAACGTGTCTGTGAAGCAGGGCAAGCAGGAAAGTGTTCCTGCTATTGTGGGATTTAAAAAAAGATGTCAATTGATAGAATATCCACAAGGAGTGGGTGAAATCTGTTTCCACAGGCCCTCCTCTAACACACGAGGTGATACCCTATTCTGTGAGAGTTATAACGAGACACTTAATCTCATAACATGACGCCAATAGGACAGTTAGAATATATGTGGGAGAAAAAAAATCGCAACGAAATAACAGATTCTGGTCTATATTTTTGGAAAAGATCTTGAGCTAAACCCTTAAAGTTAAAATAGGAAATTAAAAGTACACGTACATTGTACTTAAAATATTAAATGTCATAGACATGTTGTCAGACCACCTTTACTGGACTTGCTCAGTATTAATCTACATCACCTGGGTTACACTGAGTGTTTTAAAACGAGTGCATGCTAATGGATTATAGGGCAGGTGATAACGATTATATTTTGGTCAAGTGGGTTAGTTGGCGAGTTGTGAGTAGGCAATTCAGTTCGCAAGCGAATGAAAGAGTGGGTGAGCTGAGTCAAAGTAAGAATGAGTCAGAGTGTGTGTGAATAAGTGAGTAAATTAGTTCCACAGTTTGCAAGACTTGACTTAAGGCTTTCGTGACTGCAGGAATTCATATTCTTTGGGTATTTCGGTAAAGTCATGTAGATAGAAAAAATAATAGAAATAAAATGAAATGTTTGAAATAAAAATTAAGTGAATACAAATAATAATTTTTTTCTATCTACGTGACTTTACCGAAAGACCCAAAGAATAGTTTGCAAGACTATTGGTGCATGGTTAGCAAGTGCGTGAGTTGAGCAAGTGAGCGACTGTGATAGTACGCTTACATTAAAGAGACTAAACGAGTTGGAGAGTGGTGGTGATTTGGGAGATTAGAATATGTGATTGAGTCGGTGAATGAATGGCAGAGAGTTTGTAGGGAAGCGAGCAAGTGAGAGAGCGAAAGATTTGCCAAGTCAGCGAATGAGTGAGTCAGTGAATGAGTGAGCAAGACCATGCACAAAGCAAGTTGCAGTGAGGAGCGCAAGCAGGGAGTGGGGGGGCAGGGGCGGAGGGGGTGGCGGCACCTGTTCACTGATGCCCGTGCCACCGTACACGCACACCACGCGCAGCGCCAACTGCTTGGTGAACTTCCTGCACTCCTTGGCGATCTGCAGAGCCAGCTCGCGCGTTGGCGTCATAATCACGCCTGCGACGGCAACACAAGCGCTGATGTCAATCTTTTCTCCCAGGTCTCCGTTTCAGCAAAGTGCAACAACATGTCTTGACAGGTGGTAATGGGGTTCTAAATCAATAAAATGACAGATGGGCAGCTCTGAAATGCAATTACGTACGTACTTTGGAATGGGCATCTATATTTTTGGATATACGTATGGAAGCGTGCACACTACCAACGATTTGGTCTGCGTTTGATCGGCGCTGCCAACAAAGTTATTTCATTTTTATTTAATTTGCATGGGTCATATACAAATTGCTTCCATCTATCAGGTCAAGAAACGTACCCCTTTCACCTTACATACAAGTATGATTAATTTATTTTACAAACAGAGAATGTGCTTGAACAGACTCTCACGTGACTATAAATAATGAACTTCTGATCAATATTTTTTCGTACATATATTTGTATATTTACAGCCCTTTGGCAATCCAGCGCTGGATGAAGGACTCCTTACAACGTGCCGGTCATAGCATGCTTGTTTGACCATAATTGACCATGCTGGGTCAATGCAGGTGAGAAGGCGGACCATGCATGTTTAGGACATCACTTGGCCACCGATGTGAGTGTCGGCCTAGAATTTAACTCAGCAGCAGCTAGGCTCATAGGGTGGTGCATGGACCACCGTACCATTGCATGTCAATTAAACAATCTTCACAAACCGAAATAAGAAGGAAGTTTCACACGAATAGGTTCATATTGGCCTGTGCACTTTCTGTCAAGAAAAGAATTAGATCAAGCAAATACTCTCCTGTTGAAAAGCTCATGTTAACGAGACATGTGATTATCATTTTGATCCAACAGTTTACACAAGCCTGCAGTAATCACACTATTATGCTTTTCGTGCAGCATGTCTAATTACACTACACGCCTAAACAGTTGCAATTCAGTAAAAGGATGAGAATGTAGAGATATATATCACCGTTCACTTCGCATTTGGTTTTGTGCACATTTATAGCACATTTTTTAACAATTTTAAAAACCTGTTTGTTGAATTAAACTTCATAAAACTCCAAATATTTGTTGCAATAACATAACTGATAATTAAAACATGTATCCCAATATATGAACATATTTACAAGAAACTAAATAAATTTGCAATGTAACATTCCATGGCACTACTTTTGAGAACATGAATAAACAGTGGAGAATGCGCAGTAACAATAACACTCTTCACCAACTGCAATCATTTAATCACTTATGCAAACACATAGCAAAACTCATATCGAATGCACAAAAAAATAAACACCACACTTAATTCTCTGGCACACTGCACTGCAAAAACACAGCTTCATAAACACCCTAGAGTACATGAACTCGGGAATGGTTTAATTTTTCTCTCGTCATCTGCCCGTTCCCTCCCCGACAACCAAACGAAGCCGGTGCGACAGGGTGAGGCGTGCGAGCGGACACGCCGGGATGGCTGTACCGATGGGCCCCTCCCCTTCCTCCAGAGGCCGCTGGTCCATGACGTGCCGGAACATGGGCAGCAGGAAGCCGATGGTCTTTCCGCTGCCCGTCTTGGCAATGCCTATGAGGTCGCGGCCAGACATGATGGCCGGAATGGCCTGTGCCTGGATGGGTGTGGGCTTCTCGTAGTTTTGCCTGTGCATTTCCACGAGAGAAAGAGTTTCAAGGAGGCCATTCATTACAAAGGAAAGCAAAGTAACTGCAGTTGTTCATTTCAGTGTCTCAGTGTCAACTATAATCGCATGCAAAATGTTTTTTACAGGTTTGCCGCACAAATCGAAATGTATAAAATAAGTCTAACCCTTTTATGTGTGTGTGTCTTCAATGTCTGTTCAAACATTCCACGTGGTGACTGACGAACCCTGCTGCTGGGGGCTTCACGATGGTTGTCGTTGACCAATAACATTGAAACGATCCGTCCATTTGAACGTTCGTGCATGTGCCAATAAGTTGAACCGTTACAAAAATGTGACTTGACTCAATTACCGATTTAATGTGTTTTGGAATCAATAATTTAATCAGAAAAATTCTAAATATAAAAATCGATAACTGATTGAGGATCCTAACAGCAATAATGCACAATTGCAGGATAGGCCCAACCAGACATGTAATGCTTTAGTCGAAAACGAACTTGATGTATTGTCATGATTCTGTGCCATGTTTGAAATTGAGTTTCTTCCTTGTTGATACGGTGCGAAATAGAATGGATGGTTTGAAACATGGGCACGGTGTGATTGAGTTTATTGGTGCGGATGCAATGATGCATGGAAAATATAAAATGATTTGAAAAACTAGATTATTTGTCTTGTTTTTACGGTCTAATTTGTATAGCTTTAGGAAGATAATTGCATTGATAATAATTCAATTGCTCTTATTTGTATAGTTTTTTACACATCATTTGGCAAAATGAAACATTAGCATATTAATTGAAAAGAATTCGTAATTCCATAAATAATCTATTTTATAAGCACAATTCAATGAAAGTAACATGAGCATAAGAATACATTTTAATAGATGAATTTGTGAAATGCCTAGACTAGATTTCTTGCCATGCCTCATCACTTAGCTTAACCAGAATCCTACAGTTAACTTCTTTCCTCGCTCGAACGTAAATATATATTTATACATCTCAGCACTAACCTTAAACTGCACCAAAATATTGAAAATTTCGCATCAATGCTCACGTTATCCACATCACCTTGGTGCTCATTATGGCACCAACGCCCACGTAAATAAGGCATTGATCTGGCATTGATCTGCTGAATTTTTTTCCTATCCTGTGCCATTTTCTGCATCGCAGCACAAATCTGTCAGCAGCCTCACTGTGAGTTCCTTCGCAGCACCCAGAATACGTAGCTGTAAATTTCATTACGAAAAGAGAGACACTGCTCTGCCACGGTTGCTCGACATTTACTTGTCAGCTGGTCAGATGCATCATTGAATGGAGTCGCCAGTCATACAAAAGGGGGACTTCGTGAATTGTGTTCACTCACTTCTTGAGGGTGTTGAGAATCTTCATGGAGATGCCACACTGCACCCAGGTCTTTATTGGTTTGGGGCAACCCTTGCCCTTCACAATGACGCCTTCCATCTCCAGCCTGTAAGCGCTCACCTCTTGGGGGATGAACGCGAGATCGCGAGATGTGAAAGAGACCGACGGGGCGGGTTGGGGTGAGGTTAGAGAGATAACGGCGCAAATACAAATGGATGCAAGGTTCGCTTGTTACTTAGCATCGTGAATGGATTGTGGAAATTTGCAGTGATGACACAGTTCCCTTTCTAACGACATGGTGTGCGTGTTGGTGGAGCAGCCATCGTTCATTTGGAAAGCGCGAAGGCATGTGAATGCCAAAACGTCGCCTGCTTCTTATACAAAGAATAATATTGATAGAATGAAAAGTAAGCCCAAGATGCTTTATAATCTCAGCTGAAAATAAAATTTGAGAAACTGTCAAACCACAAAACAGGAAAAACGATGAAATGCATCGCTAAGAACACCCCTGTCGGTATAAATGTTTACTTATGCAAGGCACAACATCAAAAATTATGTTTTTATTTATATTTCATGTAAATACTTGCAAATTATATTCAGATGTCACTTATTCGTTAATAGAACAAATGATATAGACCTATGCAGAACATACGAGACAGAAAATGTACACGGGAGGGAATACAAACGGATCGAAAACAATACATTCTTAATTCAAATCGTCACCCCAGATTCTGACAATTCATAGAATCGTGGGAGTGGTGAATAATTGCACGACTACTCGTGTATGTATGTTGAACTTCTTTCGCGCCCTACTTAGCCAACCGTGCTATTCGGACAACAAACTAAATGCAAAAAGCAGCTCTAAAGAAACGAGCATTCAATCTAGATTTTAAAGTGCAAGGGAGACATTGGCGGGGGGCACCTTCTGCTGTCATCTTGGCCAGCTCGGGAACCTCGACGTAGAAGTTTCGGCGGAAGGGCTCGTACGCAATCTTGGAGTGGTCCACCACCTCCACCATCTTGCGCTGCTTGTTCTGATTGTATCCGGTGAGCGCCGTGGCCAGGTCCGAGTCCTCCTCTTCGGATGAGTACTGCGCATCCGACACAGCACACACGTCTCATCGCACCGAGCAGACGCCCATGGGACGGACACGTGCGCCTATACAGCAGGTTATGTAGAACAAAGTATAAACACAATAATCCCAAAATATCTCACCACTATAGTCATTAACACCGATCCATAGCACGTCTGTGTGTGTATATATAAATAAAATGCTTAGTGTATATGAGCTAGAAATAATTACATCATTTGGAATAATTGCTTTCATCAATAGCCAATAATTACTGCTTATATCACTACTAACGACAGTGACAAGTGAAATAACCCCATCAAACATCTTCTGCAGAAGCGAGCGCTTTTCGGGAAAGTGACTTTAGGTCCTGGGCAGTGGATGCACAGCAAGATAATGATGAACGTGTTCCAGACCAACGAACTCACCTCCATGGCATCCTGGTCATTCTCCATCAGCTCCCCTTTGGGCTTCTCTACCTCCGACTGCTTTTTGGTGACCACCGTGACCACCTTCGTAACCGAGGAGCCCGCCTTCTGTTGGCACCAATAATGAGCGTTATTTAACCCCAAAGCTAAATGTCCATATAGCTGGAGAATTGAAAAATGAAAAGAAAAAAATACAAATACGTCACGACAAGTAGTGGTGGTAACTTGACCATACTTCGCCATGCTGGTCAGTGCGGGTTTGCGAAGGTGGGAACAATTATTATGGGAGCATACAAGTACAATATAACAGTGGATTTTGCTGCATTGCCCTCTGTTGCTCACCACATAGGACTTACGTTGTCTTCAACTGTCACAGTGTAGCGTGGACAAGTCATTCGGTACCATTTGCCCTTACAGTGAACATATTAGTGAATATTACATTGGAAAGGGAGCTGTAACTGAAACTAACAAGAAAACTACTTAAATGTCACAGTGTAGCGTGGACAAGTCATTCGGTACCATGTGCCCTTACAGTGAACATATTAGTGAATATTACATTGGAAAGGGAGCTGTAACTGAAACTAACAAGAAAACTACTTAATGTGGTCTTGTAAATGCGAGACAAATTTCAAATGAACCGTCAACTGAACAAAACCATATTAACTGTTTGTTTTTGCCATTCCTGCTACTGTTGTTTGTACAAAAGGAAAGGCATACTACATCACTGGAAATACCTTTACTGACAACACAGTAGTCTGTCATGGCAGGGAACAATTCAGGAATAGGATACCATAAGGATTCCCCCAGTGCCTCTCCAATGAAGGATTTTAAACACTCTTGAGTGCCTTATACCGCCCGAGATGGCCACAATTCTGGACTCACAGCTTGATTTAAAGCACCACGGCAATGCTGTAGTCAGATGCCCTGTGGGACAGCATGCACGTGTGCTGACTTGGTTATTAATAAAACAACGGCAGCATGGAAAAGTGTGACCTTGGTGCTTGCAAGGCTGTATGGGATAGACTGCATGGTTGTTCCTCATGCCTACAATCACAAGCACTGCCTCAATCAGCACCACTACCATGAGCAAAGACAACGCCGTCCCTGTTAAGCCTTATAAAATGTTGAAACAAGTGTTGTTAGCAATCATTTATTAAGACGAATATGGCCAGAAGTACACTTGGCCAGAAGCACACTTGTCTTATTTTGTCTCCCAAGTGATATTTACACAATGCACCAGTTACTCACTTATGATTAATTGAGGAAGGGGATGCCAAAGGTAGGCTCAAATACCACTTGCCATTGATGGTTTAGAATTGAATCAATGTAACCAAGATTACTACTACTACTACAGGCTAGTGCTGCCACCTACTCCATAAATGCCAACATCTGCTGCATTACCAAGTCCATCACATGCACAGCCAACAGTTCCCATCACCACCAGCTGCACAAGTAACTCCATCAACACCAACACCAGCTCCATCACCAACCATTACTATCATCAGCAGCAGCAAAATCCACCAACTCCATCAGCAACCCCCACTGCCAACAACTCTACCAGTCAGCAACACCGGCAGCAGCAGGACCTACCTTCTCGCCCGTCTTTGCGTCGCCCATGTTGAACTTCTTCACCTCCTCCTTGATGCCCTCCATGAAAGCGTCCAGGGGGTCCACGCCATCGTCGTCGTCATCGTCGACGACAGCCTGAATACTCGCCATGTGCTGCTCGGGCTTGGCCGGCTCCGGCACCGGCACCACCACCTCTTGCACCATCTCCTCCTTCTCCTCGACCTTCAGTTTTGGCTCCTCATCGTCATCCTCCTCCTTGTCGGCAGAATCCTCGTCCTCATCCTCACCCTCATCATCGTCCTCGTCTGCGCCAGACCACAGAAACCGGAGCGTGTGGATTTTACGGCGAGGTGGACAGGAGTTGGTGGCATAGAAATTGATTCCTGAATGAATCCGTGCAGAACTTTGGGTGTTACCACTCAAATATGTGTTTTCAGTTGTCCCAGGGTAGTTTCTGGTTTCTTTCCCCATGCCAAACACCGATTGGAAACGCCCAAACATCCCAATGCGGGACCTTCCAAAAAAAGTCTTGTGACACATTGACTTACATGTAAAATTAACGAGACTGCTAGTCAAAAACCCTTGGGAAAAAACTAAGAAAGTTAGGCTGAATTGACCCTTACAGAAGACATGGACCATTGGCAGATGCCGCTGCAGTGCAGTAAACAGGGCTGAGTCAATTATTTTCCGGTTAAACACTAAAAACGTAAGAATCCATTGCATGGCCGAGAGACACTCAACATTGTCAATTTAAAAAAACGCGTCTCAAGGGCAATCCTGGAGACTTGACACATGCAATTATGGTTTCCTTGAATAGAAGGCATTATTACAACAAATTATTGGTTAGAATTAGAACGATCAAATTATATTGTAAGAAGATCAAAATTAGTTTACCATCATCCTCCAGGCTCCACTTCTTCCGCTGTTTGGACATGAGCTCCACCTGCGTCTTGATGTCGCCAATGTTGATGTGCGCCTTCTTCTTCTGCTCTTCACGCCATTTTTCAATGCGTTCCTTCCTCTTCCTCATCTCCACTTCCAGCTTGCCCTGCTCAAAGCTCTGTCGCGACAAATAATCACTCTCCATGAGTTTGTCATGCCCTTTTGTCAATTTACTGCAAAATGAGGGCCTCCCCATGCTGTGCAGTTTGTGGGGAATATTTAACCACAAGGTACCGCACCGGTTGGTGCAGATTGGCAAAAAAGCAGGGAACGTTGACTATGAAGCATAGTAGTGTACAACAATGGATATTCTGCATTGCCATCTCCTGACATAATCCCACAACAGCCTATAACACCTGTTTTATTGCATGGTGGTCAACCATCCAAAGACTATCTCCGCTGAAACCTGCTGAGCTTGCGAGATATGACAAGATCGAGTGCATTGCAGGTGATTTGCTAATAGTATGCTCTGTATATTGGGTAATTAAAAAAAAAACTCATAGAATATGCAAAAGTGTTCACAAATTACTCACAGGCAGCATCCTTCTCTTCTTCTTTGGGCTTCTCCTTTTCTTCTGGTTCAGGTTTCTCTTTCTTTTCTTTGGACTTGGAACTTCACGTGAAAAATAAAAACAGTCCTTTCATTAATTTTAATTTATACTACGTACAATTTACATTTTCTCACTAATCACGGTTAAGACAGCCCCCATGATGTAACTATTTCTGTGCCAATCTTGATGTGAAGCTTTCATGATTGCAGGAATCCATATTCTTTGGTTCTTTCGGTAAAGTCACGTATGTGACTTTATAAAAAAAAAAGTCACATAGGTGATTTAATGTTATACCTACGTGACTTTACCGAAAAAACCAAAGAGTATATTTCTGTGCCGTCCTAAGGAAATTCTGACAAATTAAACGACTAAAACAATTTTTTTTTCCCTCGGAAAGGATCACTGAGCTATATAGCTATTTTGCAGAAGTGACCCGACCACAAATGATAGCTCAACCAAGTGGCTTATAATGTGGAAAAATGTAGCAGCCAACTACTCTAAGTGTAAGTTTCTAAATGTGGAGGGAAAAACCGGAGAACCCGGAGAAAAATCCACACGACTACGAGGAGAACATGCAAACTCCAAATATACAGACGTCAGGGTCGATGAATCGGTTCGCTATGCTATTCCCAGGAGTGACACTGCGAAAAGTAAAACATTTTCAAGCAAAATAAAACTTTAACAACTTTAATAAGCTGTATCCGGTCCCACATGGCTCACCGCTTGCGTTCCTTGCTGCGGCTGCGTGTGCGGGAGCGTTTGCGCTCCCTCGAGCGGGAGCGACGGGAGCGGCGCTCCCGGCTGTGTGAGCGTCGTCGCTCCCTGCTTGAACGCCTGCGCAACAACACAAGGAAGACTAATCATGCGTATTTAAGAATTGTCTGGATCTTTCTATGTTTGTCCTCAGAAATATTTCAATTAGACACGTTCACTTTTAAGCTGCACAGCAAGGTGATGTCGCGTTACGCGTCATTTGTGGCAATACAAGATGACATCAGGGTAGTAAAATCGTGTGGGGAGGTGAGCACATGGTGTGTGATGTAATCACATTGGCTGAAAAGGGAAATTCATTGAGTGTCGATTTTTTGTTCACGTTGATGAATTTATCCAATTTTTTATGGAATAAATCCCGAACAGCAACACAACTTTCTAATGAATTAAAATTGTATCAGACCATCTTTACATTAATTATTGTGACCCCATGATCCCATGACAGACAGGTGTGCACCACCATGATCCATATAGCAGAAGTAGAGACCCTACTTGCAGCAAGTGAGCCACATACAAGGCTTTAAAACATCGTGGAAACCACTGCAAGTATCTTATTGATAAAAAAGGAGAATATTTTCAAATTGGCAACACCTGTGTTAATAATATTAGTGCACTATGCAAAGGTGATTCTTAAAATAAAAAAAGTTATTACTGGAAAAGAATAAGGTGCATATTAATATGGCCTGCTAAAGGTATTTGAAAGTCCTATTCATCCCAGCAAGGAAAATGTTTCCCACCACTGCCATGGCGTTAACGTACATTATTGCTGGGATCCTAAAACCAAAACTGGTTTGCTAAATTATCTCAAAAACGTAAATAAAACATAAATATAGAAGCAATAACCAATGAAATAATGAAGTTGTATTAATGAATCTTAAGATATTTGCAATGCATGGAATTTTTTAACAAACTAACAGCCCTTTAGATATGACCATCTATCCGTCCCTCCCAACAGCGAGCAACGCTTTTTTTTCTTAAACATTTTGTGGGGTAAACACAAAACCAGCAGGGAATACGCACGCCTCGTAGGTTCAACCAACAAGATCAAAACGACATCTTCTTGATCTGGATGAATGAACATTCAAATAAAAGTGGTTTAATGCCGGGTCCTTTTTTTATATATACACTATAAATAAATTACAACAACAACAACAACAAATCGTGGACACTTTGACGTGGAAAGACAGTGAGTAGTGAACAGCGCGCAACCTCGTGCGCTGGGTCTCGGTGCGTCGGCGGTCACGCTCCCGATCGCGTTTCTTGTCACGACTCTCGGCGGCCTTGGAGCGCTTCTCGGCTGGCGACCTCCCGCGAGACGAAGACCGAGAACGTTTGCGGTGGTGTCTGTGCGATGCAACAACAACAACAAAAAGCATTGCATTCAGTAGGGTGCGAAAGATGTTAGACATACACGGGTATACAAATGGATGTACTTTGTGAGCGGGTATTAGCGGATTTAGACTTGTATACCGGCCCCTTGGTCAAGAGAGAACCGGGATGAAACTAATAATGTGACGAAAGGTCAATTATAACCACGTAAAAAAACGTAAATACTCAAAAAACGGATAGCTTTTAATCATTAAAGATTTCATTTCGTTTCCCGTAATGTTCATGACAAATACACACATTTTTAGTGTACAACGCTTTCCATAACATTTCAGGGTGGAAACTGCAACACAATACGGTTTAGCGGAATGAATAAAGGAAGAGAAATGCATGTTGGCTAAATTATACAATATCGAACGTGATTAAAATACAAGATATCGGTTCAAACAAAATAACAAAGCTCCGTTTTCTTTGAACCTATCTACGTGACTTTACAGAAAAACACAAGTAATATGAATTCCTGCAGTCACGAAAGCTTTAGGTAAAGATTTAAAATACAAGATTTAATTACTGAACAACCACTGGGTACACAACGCTGCAACTCAACGCATTAACGTCGAAACTGTTGTTGTACCTGGAGTCGCGCGCCATTCTCCGCTCCCGTCGTGTTGTTCTTGTCCGTCACACCGCTGGCCGAGTGTTTTGTTGTTGTTGTTTATTGTTGTTAACTTTGTTGTTTTCCTCTCGCTTTTAAATCAACGCCGTCGTTCCGTCAGGCCTCACCCATGACTCCTAGGCCTTCCGGAAGTCTCCGCGGTCCGCTGCTCGGGTAAGAAAACAAACCGTGTGCCCGGAATAAATATTTGGTTCCGGAACAAAAAATTGCAGTTGTCACACAAGGGGGCTTTCCTGGCCCAGTGCTTTACTGATCAAATGTTTCACCTTGGGCGCAATTGAAGAGTGCCATCGAATATTTGAAAGAATATAAACAGACAACAGGCCAAGTTCAATAAGTGACATTTACACATGCAATAAACAACGTGATCCTTCTGTGAGTGCATCATTTCTGCAGTTCAGCATTGGGTTGACACAGCAAACTCTGGACGGGTTCGTTATTCAGTGCCTCATCAGCAGTCAGATTTAATTAGACCGGAGTATTATCTGCTTGTTCTGCGACTGATATTCTCCACAACGCCTCTGATTGTTGCGTACGGTGTGAAAGAAGTTCAACATAAGTTAAACTTTTGATTTAAAGCTTTCGTGACTGCAGGGATTCATATTCTTGGTTCTTTCGGTAAAGTCACGTAGAAGGGAAATAATAAAATAATAAAAATAAAACAATTAAATTATCACGACGTTTCGACTGCAACACAAGCAATCATCATCAGGTGTGAAATTCACAGCAAGAAAATTAAAAAAAAAATCTTACTGTGGATTTCACACCTGATGATGATTGCTTGTGTTGCAGTCGAAACGTCGTGAGAATTGTATTGTTTAATATTTTATTTTATTATTTCCCTTCTACGTGACTTTACCGAAAGAACCAAGAATATACATGAAAATATTTAAGCAAAACATTTTAAATACCCTCGCCTTGTATGTGTGGTTGCTACACCTACATTTCGCACGGTTGGCTAGGTACGGTGCGAAAGAAGTTCAACAAACAAACACACGTGTGGACGTGTGCGGTGGACAGCGTGACGTTCCAGTTGGGAACGAGCGCATGGCCGTGATGGATTTCGCCCAAGTAAACCACGCGCTTCAGTTGCCAACCACGCCCGTTTAATTATCCAGTAAGGCGATAAATATATCGATTCGAGGATTAATGCGTATTTTAATATCACGCGTTTTTTAATCGACGTTTTTCCATTCGTATACACACGTCATTAGTTCACTATACCCATCCAAACCCCTATGGTAAAACAACACGGATTGAAATCGCGATCCTGACTTACAAAGAGGGCAGATCGTTACTTTACAAGAACATAGTTTACCTTTTTGGTTTAATTTAAATTCGCGGAGTTGTTTGGGGGGATGTCATCCGTGGCTGGCAATCGAAACCAGATCATCGGGTTCAGAGAATGGGGCGTTAATCACTGCGCCACTGCTCTATTTGCTGTACTTTTTGTTTGTTTAGCTTTTGTGGCGCTCGTGACGAATGCCACTCTTGCAAATGAGACCATCCTGGTCCCTTCAGTTCTCACGTGGTTAAGCAAAAGAATGCTTGAAAGTTGAACGTGTGACATGTTTATGCAGTATGTTTGTGTTTCTTCTGCACCTCTGTTGTGTATGCTGATTCCTATTTCATTGTTTTGTCTCCGCCTGCGTTTTTGTGCTTTTTGAAAACAAAATATTTCGCTTGTCATTTTGGTGCCGCTCTTACCAACGAGGTTCATCCCACGACGTTTCGATTGCAACACAAGCAATCATCGTCGTGAGAATGTTGTTTTATTTTTATTATTTTATTATTTCCCTTCTACGTGACTCTACCGAAAGAACCAAGAATATGAATCCCTGCAGTCACGAAAGCTTTAAATCGAAATTAGAGGTTCATCCCGTCCTCTTTCAGTTCTCACCCGCTTCAACAAATGCAACTTGAACCTAAACCCGCTTATATAGTAAATTATGTCTAAAATGAAAAGCGCTATATACATGTAATTATTATAATAACATGCCCACCACCAGGTACACCAATGAGAGCATCTTGACTGGCTGCAGCACCACCTTGTAGGGTAACTGCACTGAACGGGACGGGCAGAGCCTTCAGAGGGCGATGCGGTCCGCCCAGCGGGTCACAGGTGGCGTGCTGCCATGGCCTTTTCATCAGGAAACAATCCAAGAGGAAGCCCGGCCACATCAGCATTGCGGATACCACCAACCGCTTTAGGGACAGCGTCTATCCCCAGGCCATCCGGATGCTCAGCTGAACAAAGCCCCGCGCAATATTTGCCCAAGCCCCACCCCCCCTACCTCCATTCACACCCCTTCTCCCCACCGACTGCACAATACATTGACCAAACAAGAACATTTTGCATATCAAGATCATGAAAAAGCTCACCCGCAGGGGACCCTATTCCTGCTATACACATGTCACTGTTATCATCTGCACGGCGATTTTATTTAGTTTTGAATATTTTTTTATATATTTTTTAAAAATAGTTGCTGCTGTTTACATTGTTGTTCATTTGCACAAGCTGAGAGAGAGACAGCGACACGGGAACAAATAATCTCATGCATGGGTATGTGATCAATAAAGCTGGACCCGATGACCGAAACCACCTGCACGCACCTCGTGGCACGTCACTCAGGACGTGGACCCCCGACCTCCCAGAGGCGGGGGCCCGCTCCTCAGTGTGGCCACGCCTTTCTCTATGACGTCACAACATTTCCCCGCCGCCCCTTCCCCGTTCGCTTGGTCACGTCCTACTTCTGACTGACGTCACGCCCTTCAGCCCCCCGCCCCCACCCACCGAGTGACTCCATGCGCGCAACCGGTCCCCCGCCCAGCGCGCGCCTCGGTCACCGAGTGACGTCACGCCCGCTGACCACGCCCCTAAACTGTGACCACGCCCTTTTGTGTGACGTCAGGAGCATCGACCCCCCCCCCCCTGCACGCAATCGGCGAGGGGTCGCGGCTCCTTGTCAAGCGACGGCCGCTGTCGTTTTATTATTTATTTATTTTATCATCATCACTGTTCTCCTTACCCTTTTTAAAATCGTATTTATCGTTATAATCGTAATGACTGCTTATTTTATAATCGCTTTTACAATTGATAGTGATGATTCATATTAATTACGGTTACTATTAATAATACATGTGCATTTGTAATTCTGAGGCGGCAGCGCGAACCACGTCGTAGACTACATTTTTTTGATGTGTGTTTTTTAAAACCAATTAAACAAATATTGATAACATTATAAACTGATACGTTATTTGGCGAGACGTGCTTGGGGTGGGGGGTGTGGGATAGAGATTTAAATTTTTAGAGCGTCGTGTGAGGGAGAAAGGCGGCGATATCAGAGCGGAGAGCGCGGGGAGCAGGAGTGAGAAATATAAAGGGGAGGGGGGAGGGGGAGTGAGGGGGGAGGGAGAGAGGGGGAGTGAGGGGGAGAGTTAAGGGAGAGAGAGCGGGGAGGGGGGGAGAGAGCGGGGAGGGGGGGGGGGGAGGGAGAGTTAAGGGAGAGAGGGGGGGAGGGAGAGTTAAGGGAGAGAGAGGGGGAGGGGGGGAGAGAGCGGAGGGAGGGGAGAGCGCGGAGAGAGGGGGGGAAAGAGAGGGAGGGGGGGAAAGAGAGGGAGAGGGGAGATAGAGGGGGTGGGAGGGGAGAAGGGGGAGGGAGCGCGAAGAGAGAGGGAGGAGAGGGGGAGGGAGAGGGAGAGCGGGGAGAGAGGAGGGGGAGTGTTAAAGGAGAGCGCCAGAAGCGATACCAGATATCGGCAGAGAGAGAGAGAGGGCGTGGGTGAGCTACAGCGAACGAGAGAGAGAGAGAGAGCAAAGGGGGAGAGTTAAGATCGCCAGCGAGCGGACGGGATAGGAGGAGGGGAGACAGGAAAGAGAAGGGGAGCGCTAAGGGAGAGCTAAAGGGGAGAGCTAAGGGGAGAGCTAAGGGAGAGAGAGGAAGAAGGGAGCGGAGAAGGGAGCGCGACAGAGCCTTGCGCACACAGCAAACATGGCGACGACGATATGCACCCGCTTCACGGACGAGTATCAGCTGTACGAGGAGCTGGGCAAGTGAGTAAAACCACGACAGTGACAGCCTCTTTGTGTGTCGCTTGTTGAGTGTGTTGTGCGCTATCGTTAACGACGATTGCCGGTGCATTTGATGAGAATTTTGCGCGTACATCGGCGGTGGGTCGTGGTGCTCCAATGGGTTGCAATGGTCGCTGCTGCTGCTGCGGCTGTCATCATCCGCGAATCTAATGTGTCGGTGATGTCCATTCCACGTATACATTGTACACAGATTTAGTAACTTGTCGTCAAAGCTACGTCCGATGCTGATGCATGACCGCGTGTTGTGTGTTGGCCTTAATAGGTGCTCGCTGACAGCAGTTGTCATGACACCCTTCTTGAGTTCGTGTGGGGGGTGATCGTGTGTGTGTGTGGCAATGTACGTCCTTTGTGTCTTTGCTTTAATACACAAACACGCTGCTAATGTCTTCGTTGGGGGATAGCTTCATCCGCTGGGCGTGCCGTGGGTTTTCGCCTGCCTCGCCGCCATTTCTGCGATATAAATAAAATAAAAATAACGAATAATTCGGTGATGACAATGATAATGATACAAACGCGACATTGTCATCATCATTCCACCACCGTGACCACCACCCGCACGGTCATCATTGTCATCGCCACCTTCTCTTCACCTCCGCCTGCGTCTCTATTTGGTCTCTCGTTTCCATCTCCAGCTCTTCCTTCTCTTTCCACGGCCAAATCGCCTCTTCCACATCTTCTCCTCTTCCATATCTTCTCTCTAACACCATGACGCCATCTGCTCAGCATCGCCATCTCTTTTCCAATGCGTTAATCGCCTCGTCTCTCCATGCGCCGCTCCATTTCCTTACTGTCGTCTACTTCATATCTCCCTCCTCCGGACGTGTGTGAGGGCCTCGTCTTAACATTCGTGACTTTTGGTCTGTTCTTCTGATCTCCAGCTGTCGTTACCCCTCTTTTCGTTTACATCTCCACGTCCTGTGTCCCCCTCCCATCACCCTCTCGTCTTGTGTATGCTCCCATCTCACACTCCGTTTTCCAAACCTGTTTTTAACCAAATCACTGAATGAAGCCGATCTCAGAAGCTCATAATGATAAATCCTGGTTAGTACCTGGATAGGAGACTCGCTTGGTAAATGCCATGTGTTTTAGGCTTGGGCTTTGAGGTATCTAAGAGATGGCAGTACATCAGAATGTGTAATCTATCTGCATGACATGCGAGTGTTCGTCCCTTGTATGCGTGGTGGTTTTTCTCTGGGTACTCCAGGTTTCTCCTCGCTACTCTCATCGGTCTCGTCCTCATCTCCAGTTCTCGTCATGCCGATTCAATTCACGTCGTTCGCCCTCACTTTTCCTCCCCATCGCCTCCTTTCCTCCATACGATATCTTCAGTCTTTTCATCCCCCCCCCACTACCCTTAGCCTCCTCATATCCAGCTTTTGTTTCCTCTTTTCAATTTACATCTTCCTCTCCATCACCTCTCATCTCGCGTTTGCACTATCTTTAACTCGTGTTCACTATCCTCAGCCTGCTTCTCATCCACCAGCTTAATTTTTCTCTCCACACTATCGCCTCCTGTCATTCTCTATTCCCTCTCATCATATCCCATTGCTGGCTGCCTTTCCCCTTCCACAGTGCCTCGCGCTATCTTCCTGAGCGTCCTATTTGTGCCAGTCTTCCCGCGTGTGATGTTTTGTCAGCCTGCTTGTCAATGTGCCCATCAGTTCTGCATGTTAGAGTTGTCCGTCATCCAGCTAGACCTGTGTCCACCTGTCGTATCAGCTTGTCATCCTGTCCGCATGTCCCCTTGTTTGTTTTTTTATCTTCGAGGCTTGTCATCATGACCTGTCAGCTTCGTTTTCCTGTTAATTTCATCCACGTGTCAATCCGTCTGCATTTGTGTCTATTTGCCTCCGTTTTCCAAACCTGTTTTTAACCAAATCACTCTGAATGAACCCCATCTCAGAAGCTCATAATGATAAATCCTGATTAGTACGTGGATAGGAGACTCGCTTGGTAAATGCCATGTGTTTTAGGCTTAGGCTTTGAGCTATCTAAGAGATGGCAGTACATCAGAATTTTTAATCTATCTGCATGACATGCGAGTGTTTTTCCCTTGTATGCGTGGTGGTTTTTCTCTGGGTACTCCAGTTTCTTTACACATGCTTTTCAACCAACATCTTAATTCTTAAACTCAGAATTAATAATGTAACGTGCTGCTGGTCAATATTGTAATAGTACAATATATGTAACTTTAGTATTTCATATGCCCAACAACCCCGAGTGGAATACGCCCAGGAGGACCTGAAAAGGAGTCTTGAGACTCATTGATACGTCCTTGTTAAGTTAATGACTGGCTGCCTTGAGTTCTGTTTGCCTCACTTCTGTCTGCACCTATGCACTTTTGGTTCCTATAACAGCCAGTCATGATGACATTAATAGTGGTTTTGGTGATGATGATCGGAGCTGGCCTGTCTTTGCTGTCCACAGGGGAGCCTTCTCGGTGGTCCGCAGGTGTGTGAAGGTGAGCACTGGGCAAGAGTTTGCAGCCAAGATCATCAACACCAAGAAGCTGTCTGCCCGAGGTATGACTACACAGGTTCACACCTATTTAGTCTGTGCGTGTGCCATCTCCGTGTGATTGTTTATGTGTGTGCAGGTAGTGCTTGCCCCCAGGGTTTATAAGACTATAGACGTAGGATCTGTGTGCATGTGTGTTTGTCTGCATCTGTGCGTAATCTGTATATGTGGAGCGGTGACGCAGTGGTTGTTGCGCTGCGTTATAAACCCAGCCACCTAAGTTTGATTCCTATCCATGGCCAGCATTGATGTAAATTACATAATTGTTACTGGTCCCCCTGAGAGCAACTCAGCCTTGTGCCTAGTGTGGTGTATGAACATCAGTACCTGGGAGACAAAGGCAGCCAGGTATGGTGGCCCAAACACCCCCCTGGTCTTAATAGGTGGTTGCTATCTCATTTCTCCCAACAGCCTGGAAGGTTACTGGGTGAGGGTCTTTATCTATGTGTCTTAATCTATGTATCTGTGTGTGTCTGTATCTGGTATGCTCATGTGTCTCTGCATGTCTGCAAGGTTTGGCAGTTCTGTAAGGTCCCCAGAAAGACTGCCTGTCTTCTTTAGTGGGTGACAGTGATTCAGGGCAGTCTTTCCTGGGGGATTTAACCCATGACATTTCATGGACATTTTCTGATGTATATACCCAGTATATGTGTTCACCTGTTCATAATGATACATGAATGAATGTATATATGAACACATCTGTGTCTGAGAGAAACTTGCATTGCATTTAAAATCGAAAGTTGACACGTAGGCCATAATGCCTGGCTTGCTTGTACCAGCACTGCATGTCCATATTCTCGAGCCTGCATACGCTCATCCATGCGTGTGTTCATGGGTATGTGTTGCTGCCGATAAGCCGAAGGCTCGTGTCTTCGCAAATGCCAAAGTGAAACGTCACGTCACAAATAACGTCACTACAAGGCAAGGTGTCATGTTTCTGTTAATGCCTGTGTGTGGTTAATGAAAATTATAGGACCCTGTTCTTCCTTAGCTTTTAGAGGTCGATTGGAGATGTTTCTGTGTTGACTCCAGTGCTTGCAGCTGTCATGCCAGAGCATCTTCAATGAATGGCTTTTAAAGGAGTGTGCAAATTAGAATTTGTGTGCATTGCCCTTGTTAACCTCAAATTTATTATGGCAATGATTCAAATGTGTGCGCAAAGCAGCAATAGCCACACATACGGACACAGTGTTAAAGTTCCACAGTGACATGTTGCAGACCCTTGTCATGTGACATTTAGAGCCATAATATACAGACGTGAATAGCGTCACTTGCTTTCTTTTTTTTAAAGACAGTATAATAAAATACTGAATTACGTAAGGCCCGTTTTGTTACAAAGGCATTGAAAACGTTCCGTGAAGATGTAGAGGCTTTGTGGTATTTTCAAACTTGCTCGAGCTGCCCAGAGAGGCGGTCATGGGGTTCGAGGGCTTTTGGTATTCTGTGTACGTCGCAGTCTGTATAACAACATCACGGAATAAGAATAAGCTATGCCCTCGTGTAATGCATGCGCTTCCACCAAACGTAACCCCTCCCTTCAAGCCCCTTCCCTGCTGGAGCAGTGCAGCTGTCGCAGTGACTTTCCCGTTCACACTTTGCACCCGTTTTGTTCTCTACATGCACACTTAATGGTGCGGTTATTACCATTTATAAAGATTTGGCAATGCAAAACATTGTTCTGCGACCCCTGCACATCTCGTAATGAATATGATAACATGCATTTATTTTATTTCCATAAGATTTGTGGCCACATCCAAATGTACGCTGCAGATAGTACTTGTCAAATTGTTACAGGGCGCAAATGTTTGTGCTTTAAGTTTATATTAAATATTATTGAAACTGATATGTAGACGGCTTCATGATAGTGATACAGCATAAATAAGCATTTTATTTTGGTATTTGATTATATTTTTTGTATGAGCAGATTTTTTTTTTAAAACCCTGAATAGCACATTGTGCATATACACCAAATATTCTGAGGCACAGCAGATTCAAAATCTTGTTTATCACGTACTGCAATAGGAACGTTTGGACATATTTAGAATTGTAATGATAGTTAAAAATGAACACCAAATAAATAATGTTCCAGAATAATGTTTTCTCATTCAACCAATATAAAATAATGCGGTGTTCAGAATTATTCCGAATCCAACTGCATTGCAGAGCCAGAAAAAAACACGTGGAATGCACGGAGTTCATTTCTCAACCTGTTGTTACAAGTGGAGGCCGCAAATGATGCCGTAGTGGCACATGTGTACTGTGTTCCAAAATAGATTGTGTGTAAATTTTAAGCGGTGAACTGTGTTTAAAAAGGAAATCGATATTCCAGAAAGTAAAAGCCAAAGACGGATTAGCGTGTTTGGAGCCGAACTGTTACATTGAAGGTACAGTTTTTGTTAATTTAGCCATTCGTATTTAAGATGTATTTTGTTATTCAAAAAGCCATTAGTATACCACATTCTTTTTGAGGTGGTATGGTTTTGCTTTATTCGCTTTGAAAGCACTTATCACTTGTATACTTACTGCTCCCATGAATGTCTCCAAGGAACTGGTAACATGGAAGCACTTGAAGAAAAATATCTGCCCTGAGGGTAGCTATTATTTGCATTATGGACGATTTGCCTGATATTGCTGTCTGTTTTTTTAGTGAAACAAATGTTTGCGCATTTCTTGTAATAAAATCATTGTTTGCTGAACATTAATGCAAGGTATTTTCATATTATCAAACAAAAAACATGGGTATTTAATGCATTACACATGCTTTTTCCTCGCCATATCTGGTTTTGTGCGAAATATTGAAGCAGAATAGGCCCACAGTGTTTTAAACAATGGAGTATTCACCCAACATTTGATACATGTATAAGAATACAAAATATACTTGGGTTGCCAATCCTGTTGCAGTTTCATGAATTCTTGGCTCTCAATGTCAGGTTCCTTTGCATCAATGGAGTGGAAAAACAACACCACCCATTATGTGATTACACCTTTCCTCTGCTTCTGTTTAATTTGAGCAGTCCTGGCTGATTATGGTAAATCCGTGCGTAAATCCCAACGTAAATCTCCTCGGTGGTGAGTGATGGGGAGCATCTATGGTGGCTGAATGCTAAGTAGGATTCTGCTCTGCAGCACACATAATGAGAGAACCAAAGTAATGCATGCAGGGTCATAAGTGGGGGGTTCAAAGTTCACGTCCTAAGAGGTTACCTCTCGGATGCTTCACGCAGGCAGCTTAAATTACACCTCGACAAGGAATGTGCCACTGCTAATCTGTTCTCAGTCTAAATTGGAAGTTGGTCAACCAAACCACGGTTGTGAATTACACGGTGTGGTTGTTTTTTACATTTTCTTCAGTATATCCGCATACTATTCATACCATACTGCCACCCAATTGGTTTCCATAATTGTGGTGTTTGGAAAAATCTGTTTTTATTATATGGTGGGCAAACATACGAGTGAAACAACCTACTGTAAAAGTGTTGCTCCAACATAATGTTGAGCTTAATGAATCTCTTGCCGTTTGTTAGCCATGGTCAGGGATTGAACTCGTTCTCTGATTCATAGCGCAGTGCGCAAACCAGTGGAGCACAATTCTTGTCCCTGGAGTGTTAGTGTACGATAAATATTATATTATTAATGCAGTAATTCCTGTCTATTATATCTCTGCTGTAGAAAATATAGTTACAAAAATAGTGTTTCTGCAATAATTATCTTTGTCCAGCCTCTACATATTCGTGTGATATATGTTACGTATAAAAAGGTTATGAGAAATTAGTGATTGTTCTCAGTAAAAGTAGTTTTTACCAGCTACAAGTTAATTATTTGTTTCTGTGATATTTGCTGTGCAAGGCTAGGAGAGCCATATTTATAGGTATACATCAAGAAACAAAAGTAGTTTTGAAATGATGAACACCATGTATTTATTGCAGCACATTATTGGATCGTCTGCAACTGGCCGTAAAGCATGAAACATATTGATGTCACAAGCAAATGATGAGGCACAGGAGTCAATAGCCAAGAAGATTAATGCAATTAATAACTTTTTGAAATGTCTGGCCAAGAAAATTGAGCAAGCAGCTACTTATAATTGGTAATATTAGAATTGTTTTCACAATGCGATTACTGAAGCCGAGTACATTTGTGTACTTGATCTATCCAACTATAATGTCTATAATAAAATGAAAATAAATCTGGTTGATTCAATTGATGGCCGTACAAGAAAAGAACACGCAATAATCGTGTTCACTGTAGAACATTCATTTAAATCTATGCGAATGTAATCTGTCATTAGCAGCCAAACGCAAGCAGCTGAGCACAGCCTGACTTGCATCGTATGCAGTCTTGTTTGGACCATCAAATGCCTTCCTCATGAAAAATTATATAGTCTGTAATGGGCAGTAAATCTGGCTCATAATGTGGTTTTCTTGAAATGCAGTTGGGTCCTTTGTGTGTCATTACTGTGTCTGAGAAACAGCTCTGGTTAATTATGTATGCGATAATCACGGGAGGGTATGGGTTAGGACTCCCAGTGTCTGCAAGTCACCCACGGTTTCATGTAGAGCCACTACACCCCAAAATGACAAATACAACGGCGGGAGCACACTGACGCAGTGCGTTTGGATGTTTCCTTAAAAGCAGTAGGCGAGAAGTTTGTGCCCTCCGAGGGATGGATTTCTCTGCAGCGAGTGAGGATTGCTGCGACATAGGTTTTGAAGGGAAGGGTTGGATCTGTCATCCTTGGATTCACGATAAGAAAAAAGTGTATTCGCATTGTGTTAAGCAGTGAACTGTAAATAAATAATTGGGCTCCAGTTTTTTGGTGTTTTTTTTTTATCCCAGTTATATAATTTACGATATAGGTATGCATATCATGCATTTTCATACCAAAGTATAATCAATTTCTATACAATCAAATCACGGCGCATATTGTGAAGCATGCGTTGTGAAAGTAATAATTGATTAAACATTACATGTCTAGAAGCTACTGGGTCTAATCAACTTTAAACAC